TGGGCAATAGGGTGGATTGGGATGATAGGATCGCGGGATGCCGGCAACTGCACGAACCGAGCTCCTCAATATTTCTTGCGGCCTCTGGCAAAGGTTCTGCGGATTACGCGGGATATCGAGATGTCGAGAGACGCTTGCCGTGGGGGGTGGAGGTAGGTGTGCGGAGGTTGAAATCAGAATCAGAGGTCGAATCGTCATAGAGGGGTTTGCTCTGAATCATGCGACAGCCTTGAAAGTGAAACTCGATGTCTGTACCAGTAAGCAGAGACTATCCATCGATAAGAAATGCAGCTCAGGATGGGAAAAAGTGCAAGACGCAACAGCAGGCTGCCAGTGCATGTCTGTGAATGGGAACCTACAGAATCTGTTATCCTGCGGCGCAGACGCCATGGAAGGCGGGCGCGCTCGCGCTACCTTGGCCCGTTCTGACGTGTTCTAGGCCAAATTATCCCCGGTGTGGCACGCAAACACTGCAGACGAATGAGGGCGTGACAGCGACATTGTCGAATCTTGTTGTATCGTGTGGTGTGCAAGACGAGGTCAGTCAGAAGTACAGGGTAGGAGGTGGGAAACGCCGTTGCGAAGGATGGGTACAGGCAACCAACGCCAGGACTAGCGACGGCGCGGCGGAATGGGACGGCTCTTCTCCCTAACGCTCCCGACACGACCCCTTTAAGTTGCTCTGGTCAACGTGCTAGATGGGCCAAGTATCGTACCAAGGGTCTTGCGGGAGGGTGGCATTCGTGTCATCTAGGTGCAGTGGTGATGGTGGTGACCAGCTGTTAGTCGGGCGAGGATGGACTGCGGCTGGTGGGATGGGCTTCACCGGTGAGGGGCGGCGCCTAGGGACGGGACGGGACCGGTGAGAGCAGGTGAGTGAGATTTCGAGCAAGAAGCCAAGAGGGCCAGCGTTCGTTTCGTGCGCGCATGTTGGGCGGTAGTAGACGTTGAGAAGGGTGTTGGTAAGCTGGAACCGAGGCCCGGCCACTAAGGCAGGATGAAGTGGCAGGGGGTGAAGATGTGTGAGAGGCGCACAGGAGGGAGGGAGGGAGGAAACTGTCACGTTGGGATTACCCCGTGGAGCAACCTTTGTCAGTTGTTCGATTTTCGGGGTTGGATTTTAAATCTGTCATCTGCAAGTTGCTTGAAGGGGCATGTTTGACGAGGAGGCCGTTGAAGAATGGGAAAGGAAAAGGATGATGTTGGCGTGGTCGTGTGGACGCTCTCACCCCAAGCGACTTCCAACGTTTGGTTCGCTTATGTCAAAACGGCTTGGAGGGTGTCGAGGTAGGAGGGAACGCGGAGGTGGCGGCGACCGGTCTGGACCTTCCTGCCTAGAGAGGCTGCTTGCCCTCATCTCATTTGGCTTGTGTTCTGGGCGACGATCAGGAGGGAATGGAAGGAACCAACAAGCCACTGTGCGTACCCATCTCTCGGCGATCCGGGCCCGGGACCGATGGGCGGGGCCGGTGTGGGCGTAACTTCCCTCGGTGCGGGCCCCGACCACCGTCGTGCGACCACCTCTCTGAATGCCACACCTCCACAGTGTGTAGAACAAAGCTTGTAAGCGGGCATGATTTTCGCCGTAGTGTAACCCGATAGCTGGAAGGCGTGGGGATGACTTGTTGTCACGCTGTGAGACGTTTTTCGGTATCCTCGTTTGAGATGGGGCTGAAGCCTGATATGACACGGCTTGATCAGCTGGGAGAATTGGGGGGGGGGGGGGACACGACAGATCTGTATGAGGAGATATCTTATATCAGATCCTGGAGCAGGGGCAAGCGGAAAGCATCGGGCTTGGTTTTTATCCTGATTAAGAATTTCGGTGTGAAATCTCTTAGTGGTGAGATTTCTACTGTGCGTAGAGTAGTCACGGCAACATGTTCTGCGTCAGGACGAAGTCATTTCATGTAAGTTGAGAACCTTTCAAGACAGAAAACGGTTCTTTGACCGAGAAGGTGTCTAGGATGCAGGGAGCGTATGATGTTGTGAAGCTCAAAGCTCGCAGCTCCATCAATTTATGCGTTACTCAGGCTCAAGCTCCCGTAAGGCAACCAAGAGCGTTATAGGCCCCTTGGGCTTTCTTAAATCTACTAAGAAGTAAATAAAGCTGTACTGAGATGCGAATGAATCCGGATTACCTCAATTGTACGAATTACCACAAGTTAATCCGTTCACTCAGCCTGATCCTCAGCCCATGCCAAAAACGGACGTCAGCTATCCAGTTCTGAGTATCAAAGTTGGAAACTTCTTATCCCAACACATTCTCCAAGTAGAATGTTTTGCTTTGCACCCCTAAGCAACCTGACGAAGTATAGTAAAGACTCCAACACCCTCCAACTCGTTTCCAATGTCCTCCCGGATCTACCATCGAATCATCACCAACATAGAAGGGTGATCCCAACAAAGTACTAGAATTAAAATACTTATTCCTTACTTTGATTGTAGAGTTATTTTAGTCAATTTACAGCTCGGGGACTTAAATACAGCCCAAATTCGCAACCTGCTCAACTGTGACTACCCATCTACATCCCATCCGTCGCACAAAAAGGGTCTTTTTTCACGTCTACATACGATTTTTTGAATCGAAATCTCAATATGCGCCTCACGTCGTTCTCTATTCCTATCTCTCACTAAGAATGATAATTAGTAAAACTAAGATTCAGAGGCAAACCAGCTTTCATGCTTAAAAGCCGTCAGATGCGTCATCATAGTGAGACGGGGCTCATTGAAGAAATGCCCGAAGCAGACACAAAATTGATAGATAAAAGAATGTCGACATGTCTCAATACCACTCTCCCTTCCAAGACTTCTCCTTCTGATGTCACAAGTGAACCTTGCACCTGGATCATTCGGATACTCTCTCCATTTATGGATGTGTCCTACCTAGTCGTCAGAGGCCAACATTAGTTGCGACTTCGTAAGAGCACAAGCAGACATAATCTCTCTCATTGTTCGAGATTCCGATAACGACAGGTCTGATAGTTCTCGGTGTGGTGGCAGCCTGTATCTCAAAGCTTGTGTGACTGTCGACATAGGACCATCTCGCATCATTGGTTTCCCAGAGCAATAGCAGTTGAATAACAAGCAATTAGAATTACAATTGTCTTACCTTAATCTACCTTATGTCTCCCTGCATATTCCCTCTGAACTATACCAAAGACGACGGCGGCTTCTATCATGATACGCTACTCCTTCTACCCACCATGTGGTAGCCCCGGATCGACAGCGATAAGAGCCCGATGGCGTTATTGTATTGATCCTGATTGATTAACCTCTTCTGTCGCGAGTGGCCAACATTGGACCCCGCTCAGTATGAAGTCGAACAACAAGTTGGCGAATTCCTGTTTCAAAGCTAGAAAATACCTCCTTTATAGCCATGGGTTCTAAATAAGACTGAACTATCCATGCCTGAGTGAATGAGAAAGCTCTTAAAGAGGTGGACACATGGTAGCTTACGTCCAGGGATTGAAACTGGCATATACTTCAGGGCAGCTATGGTATAGAGTAACAATCCCAGCTGGAAGAGAAGAAGATAGACGAAGATCACCTCCATAGCTTCATATCCATTTGTTGAAGTTAAGAAGCTCAGTGTGTACGTATAAGTATATCAGACACATTTGAATGGACAGACCCAGAATGGTGACGACAATCATCCGCGTAGGTAATAATTCTATTCCTAGTCCACACAGGCAGCGTCAAAGAGACACGGGGGTTCGCATAGCAAGCACAAGACGTCACGTAAACGGCTGTCATCATGGCGTCAAACCCAATTCCCATGCCGACAGCGAACCGTATAAGAAAGATCCCGGAGGAAACATAGACCAGAGAACCAAACAGTGAACGGAAAACATCGAGACATCATCAGCCTCCATCCATAGGAGGCAGTTCGGAAAGTCAAGAAGACTGGACCTTCGACCGAGACAATAGACTCGCAACTAATGGATTGCCAACGCATGACTGTGGCCTTGAAGTCAGAACTTGCTGCTTCATATCAACAGCCCACGCCACTGGTCATCAACAACATAGACATGTCCTCTCTGCCCTTCTTTCACCCTCCATCCCCCAAGTCTTGACGCCCACCGAACCGATCCGCCACGCCTCGCCAAGCTTTCCGTCTACAGTGCCTTGCTGGTCTCCATTCATCGACTGAACTATTTCGTCCTTAATTCCTCAGACTCCCTAGACACCTCTACAAAGGGAATTGCAGGGCTCGCATTATGCGTCATGTATAGTCAAGTCTCTATGAAGAAGATCCCAGAGACCACTTCAAAAACAACCTTCATTCACCCGGCTCATACCTACGAGAGAAATAGCATTTCTATACCACAACCTCAGCACCGACGGCTCGCAAATCCAACTCGGCAAAAGGCATGTACATGTAGCGGAGTTCAACAGCTCCCATGTCAGACTTTGACTTCCTCAACTCCCCTAGGCTGCCACAAAAGGCAGAAAAATCACCAAAATCCAAACAGAGGGCAAAAAGATGACCCGCAACCTTCTAATCATCATAACGAGCAAAAGAATGGACGATCTGGGAATCGAACCCAGGACCTACCGCATGCTAAGCGGTCATTATACCACTAAACCAATCGCCCATTGGTTGATCTAGCCCGGACTTGAACCGGAGACCTTCAGTGTGCTCAGCTTCGAGTTGGCCTCGAATCTGTTAGACTGACGTGATAACCAACTACACCACCAGACCATTTATTGTTGATGACGACGTGCAGAATCGGGCTTTATCAATTCTCAGTTCAAAATTGTGTGCGGTGAACGGCGGGACCCGCTTGGTTGCGGCAGCGGAGCCCTAAAAGTACTATAGATACTCCGTAGGCTGCTGCAGAAAGTCTGCTTCATGCCGGCTGTGGTGGGTCGTTCGAATGCTGGCCCCCATCAGTACCGGCCCGATGTCTTGTCACAGAAACTCCCGTCGTCCACCGAATTGATATTCTGGGATCATGGCTGTGGTCTCGCTTGAGCAAGGTACCTGCAATGTGATTTCATCTTTCGTTGCCGGCCGCGTCGTCTGGCTGAGAGGGCAGGGCACACTTGGGGGCGCTGCAGCCTCCAAAGACGATGGTAGTGACAATCGTGATGCACAAAATCGACCAGACCGTTCGGGGAAGGTAGTAAGGTGGTCTGGTTTTGTTTTGTCGTCTAGGCACCTTAGTTGCCCGGGCTGATAAGACGACATCTTAATGGTGCCGAATATCCAGACAACTTTGCTTCTCGACCCTGTCAGCCCCCCACGCTGCCTTCGTCGACTTTCGCAATATTCTCCGAAAGCTGGCTAAAGTCCGGCCATGACGACGAACTGCATGCAGCTCCGGCGTGGGGTGCTTTAAAAAAGTGTACGCGTGAGCCGCATTCTCTAAGACGATAGACTGCTCTATAAGGAGGTCTAATACGCGCCAGCAACAACGTGTTGAGGAGCTTACGGATGAAGAGCGTGTGCCGTGCATACCATTCGTACAAACAACCGGCTCCCTGCTTCTTCGGAAGTTTTCTCCAGTCAAGTTGATGAGCCATGCGGACCATCCATGGAGTCTTCGGACAGACGAGAAGGTGACACGGCAAAAGCTGGCTTCCAAGTCGTGTATCTGAATGCCTATCGAGGCCTCGTGTCCTGAGTGCAGTCCTTGCTTGAGGATATTCTGCCGTCCATGATAGCTCTGACCTCGTACTCAGGCTGAGACGTCAACTGACGGGAGCGCTCGCCTGAAGTCCCGCGCCTTCCGAACACGTGAAAGCACGCCGTGGAACGGTTTGTTATATCTTCAACTGGCCTTGAGGCAACGTCCTGACTGCTTGGTCCTCGCATTCGGAGCTATGAAGCGGCAGAATCTCACTGCTTTGACGTCGAGAGTCCCAATACAGTTAATTTGAATTGGTAGTGCGGTGCAGTATGGCAGCAGCAAGCTTAGTGAGCACCTCGACGAATTCAAAAATTGGGCTTTGTAAAGCGTGTTTAGCTGGGGATCCCGCCAGCGAGCAGATGATGTGTTCATGTTGCACATGCGGGTGTAGATCCTCCGCATCTTCGTGGCTGGGAGATCCATGGAATGGCTGGCCTGGCATTTTCGTTCCTGGGCTTGTGCTTGCTGCGTCCCAAGTCATGAGTTTTTGCAAGATCAAAGTCCAAGTCAAATGGATAGAATTCTCCTCAATGAGCAAGGCAGCCAGGGTACCTCAACCTCTTACTCAGGCATCATAGACTGGCCAAGACCATGCTATCGAGATATGCCGTCGGGCATCCAAGACTATCCGTTGGAATGACGAAAGTACCGCATCGTGCGCATCAATCTCGAAATGAAGCCCTAGGATGTTGAAGTAAAGGCTTGGGGGCCGAACATTTAGTAGCAACCGTAATTGCTCAAGGCCCAAGCACTGCTCGCATTGACTTGGTCGTGGCAGGCTTGGACGATTTGGGAGCCAGAAGATTTAGAGTTCCTGCCTGAAACTCAAAAGTGGACTGACACGACTGGTTAGCGTGGTGATGGTGCAGTCCATCTCACCTTGGCCACGTGGGAAGGTGAGATGGCGGAGATGTGGTCTGGGCGCTTATATAGGTCTGAGGAGTTTTTTTGACTATCCGTACCTCTCAACCTTGTAAAGGCCTCTCCAGTGAGTATGACTTGTTGATATAGCTCCACGTAGCTCTTGGTACCGGCACTGAGAACACTCAAGCCAACAATAATCGTACCAGAGTCGCTGGATGTGCTCCATAGACAATACAGCAATGACCGAGAAGGGGGATCGGCCAGGGAAAATTCCAGGGAGCGAAGTTGACAGCTCATATCGGAGAGGTGGAATAGACCAGGGTCTAGACGTCACCTTTCGAGTATGGAACCCAGCAGACCGGTTCTCCGGTTGGAGTAAAGGCTGTTCTTCAGAAGCCGCCAACTCGGAGATAGGGAGGGAATAGGAATGATCCTTGGGCCAACAATCTCTGGTTTGACCAAGTGTGCAAGGTTTGTACGGATAGGAGTCGGCGATCTGGGCGACCATGGGCTGCGGGAGTGACGTCTGGACGACAACGACGCGGCCCGAAGGCATGGTTGACGATCGGTCGCTGCATCGAGTTGCCAGTCACACATTCCGGATTCGGGTCAGCTACCAAAGTAGTAGATCAAGTCGGATGCAACGTCGACAGACGACAGGGAATGCGCTGAGAATCAGATGAGGCACCAGAGTGAAGTTTTGCGAGCTCCCCTTCGTCGTCATGACATGAGTCCGCCACGCGTAGTGGTGTCCTTGGCTGTAACGGGAACAGGAACTCGAACTTGAATGGGAAGGGGGCGCGAGCAATGAAGTGTCTATTCGTACACTCGCATCTGCGGCTAGCATCCATCCTGGGGACCCCGGAATCCCACCAGTCGGTTCTCAGGTACGAGATGCAGGGGCACATGCTCGGTCGTCAGTAGTTGGAATCAGGCTATTTGGAGGAGGAAGAAAAAATTTCTCTATGCCCTCGCGAACCGAGGTGGTGGGTGAGGCGAGGAATTGGACGTCATGATTGGCGAAGTAACGACAGACCTCGAGCTGTCTTTAATCTGAAGTATTTCCGGAGCGATATTGATTTGCCTCGGATAGGCTCAAGTGAGGTAGTCGGCCGCGGATATCCAGGACTAGGCACTAGGATGGTTGGCTGTCATGGAAGCAGAATTTTAACAACGGCTACGACGTTGCAATGGCTAGATGTTAGCTGGCGAACAGCGTCCCTGGTCAGTGTCTCGGCTCCGGGCCTCGGTCGATGGCCGCATCCAACCCGCAGATCGTTAGTGGCCCTTGCTGCACTTTATTCGAAGCTCTCTGGTGCCGAAAGACCGTGTGAAGCTTGTACTACGGAGTGATTGAGATTGTAGAGTCTCTGGTGACTGGGTCGTTGGTAGGAGGGCCGTGGCGGATGGTTCGGCAAGGCATTGTCGGGTGCTGAGTCCTGGACGTGGCCATGAAGCTTTGTGGAAATGGAACGGCAGGACTATCGGAACAACCCCTCATTGCTTGCGCGGGTGCAGACCAAAAGTCTAGTAGATGGAAGACGATTCTTCTCGATGAGGTGCATAGTGGCTTGCCCTTGGTTGACAGGGACAGGCCGCAATGCAGGAGAAATCGAGACAAAGTGGGCAGAGTGGATGCGTCTAGAAGGGTTGAGAGATTAAACAGAAATCAGAGTCTAAGGCAAGGTACAGAGAATGGGAGACTGGGAGACTGGCATCGATACAGACCGTACATCACAGGATGGATTCCCTCCATGGCATGGGTGATGGCACCTGCATGTAGTCGAGTGCTAGAGTGCGGCGGTGCTCTATGGTGTTGTCTTGGAGCCTACGGAGCACACAGTAGAGGTTGGGAACTTGGGTCAAGTTCCGACAACGGGCCCGTCGCGGCGTCGCCTACACAGTACATACTTGGCTATCTTACCAGGATGACAGCCTTGCAGCATCGAGGAAGGAGCAAGCAGTAAGAGCTAAGGTGGTTGAAGCTGCGTGATACTCTGTACAGACAAAGTCAAAGTTTGAAGGTCCAGGGATGGTTGGAAAGTTCACAGCTGTGGAGAACCAGAGGCGTTGGGTGGAGATAATTGCCTGCCTTCTCTTGTGCTTCCTTAGCTCAATTGATGTTTGTAGCAAATTGGAAGTTCTTGATGAAGTCCTGGGACAAGGCATTGAATTGTAGGCAGGGGAATGAGAGCAGGAGCATCGTAATGTAGAGCAGATGCAACTACAATTTAGACATGGCCGCCGACCAACCTCAAAGTGATGAAATGTTAAGTCGGTCAAGTCCATGACGCAGTGATTACCTCTGTACCACATGAACTCGGGCCGTCAAGATGGGATCTGAGGTATCCAAGGAGTAACTTAACCAAAGGTAAGGTCAGGTAACTCGAGAAGCTATCAGGTTAGGTACTTACCTTAGGGTGGAAGGAGGGGACGGTGACAACGAGCAGGTAGTTGGGAGCAGGAAGGCATGGATGATGGATGACGGCAGGTGGAAAGGGAACGGTGAGGTAAGGAATGCATGGCGCGGCATGGGAAAGCAAAGAAAGGACGCAAAGAAAAGGAGAAGGAAAGGACGGCAGCCGCATATCTCCATGTCCCTTCCATGTTGGAGCCGGGGGACCGCGCACCTGCCTCAGTCACAGTGAGAAACTCGGGAAGGTGCTGGTAACGGGGGGTAGCTACCCAAGGTAAGAGAGACTGAGGTGGGGGCTCGGGGATCAACCACGAGTTGATTCTTCTTTCCCTGCCTAAGAGCCAAGACATCACGTCCAAGTACGCATCGCATCCATGGATACCTAGTCTGTACTGTGCCTAACAACAATCCTCTCTCAAGAGTCAAGCCTCATTCAAAGGTAGGTAAGCAATGGGGGCAAGCATCCATCTGCATCTTTGCTCTTGCACCTGCAGCTGTCCACCTGCGTTCTCACTGCTCAGTGCCCACTGTCTCCCATGCAGCACGCAGCTTGCAGCACCACCACCTCAAGCACGACTCCATCCGCGGAACGAACGAACGAACAGGGAAACATGGGATGGAAACAGAAACAGAAACATCACGGAGCGCGCTAAAACATGCCTTCTCGGCAATCCACTGCGACCTGAAATCCACAGCACCGCAGCAGCACCATAGGACCAGGCCACCACACCTCCTGTCAACTACACGTGTATCCGTACCGAGTAGGAACTTTCCTCCACACTGCCCGCCCTGGGGGCTCGAGAGCCCGTCTGCGCATGGCCGCCATGGGCCAAGACCTTGCTTGCTCCACGAGAGAGCCCCGGCGACTATCCAGGACTAGAGCCCACACAAACTGCCCAACTCGACCAAGCCTCAATGGAAACCGCACGAATACTCCGTACGGCGTACGCACCATGACACTTCCGTCGCGGCGTCGCGGCTTGCCCTGACCCCTCTCTTCCATTCTCTTGGCCCTCTGGAGACACATGGGAAGAGAGGAACCTCACCACATGGGACGGGTGGGACAAGACTGGAGAGTCCCACCTATGCAGGAGCTATGTTCGTGCGCGCTGCACCCAACTGGACACTTGCTCTGGCTAAACGGCAGACAAACCCTGACTCAGCTACATTGGGACAGAGACCCGTTCCCACGCTGAACCCACGGACTCTGAGCCTGTCGACAGCTCAAAAGTGCCGGCCGAAAAGAGGTTGCTTTACACCTCAGACTGCTATCGTAGGTATGCAGTGGCTACGAAGTACGGATACCCTGCCTTACGCATACGGATACGCATACGTACAGACTACCTTAGCCTCTTTTCCAAAGTATCCAGCATACTGGCAATCTCAAGAAGTATCCTGTCCTGGAGGGCCATGTCTACTCTACCTACTACTTCAGCCATGACTTGCTGGACGCTGGCTACAGACACAAGGCACCTCCTACTCCATACTCCGTACCAACATAGGCATTGGTACCTTACTTGAGCCAAACACCACTCTACTTGGATCCCGTCGGCCTCGGTCAAAAAGGCAGCCAAGAGACGGCACGGCATCGCATCCTCTTTTCCCGCCTCTGCCTCCGCGAAAAGAACAACCCAGAATCCACAGGTCAGAGGCCAGCAAGCACCTCATCCTCAGGACCTTCCTCAATTATCCCCGCCGCCGTCGCCGTGTGAGCGGGATGCCACGCCACCTCACCCAATCACTGCCATGGCGAGGTGTCGCTTGTCGGGGGAGCCCAATTGGAACCCTACCTCGACTACTTCGACACCCATTGGATCTTGCCTCGCGCCGCTGTGCCTCACACCAAAAGGGCACAGTTCCATTTCAGGAAAGAAGGAAGACGGCAAAGACTGGAGGGGACGGGGGAAATCATCCAAGAAGACTCTCCGAAAGTTGGACGACGCAACGCAACGCAACGCAATCGCTCCCGACCTCAATCACTATCTCACCACCATGTACTTGGTACGGATCATGCAATACACTAAGTTGACCAACGTTGTCCGGCCGGTGGTCCCCGGATCAACATGACGCTCAAGCACTACTCCGTACACCAGCACCCCCAACTCCCATACTGTAACACGCCAATGATGACCGCCAACCTCGACTTCAGCTAGAAACCCCTTCCTTTGAAGCCCTGCGACAAAATCATCAAAGCTCCGTCCCCGGCTCTCTGCCCTAAATAGCGACGACGTTGAAGCTACCGCGCAAGCGTCCGACAGTAGTGTCAGCCTCTCCGTTATTTCGAGACAAGAGGCTTCCAATTTGTGAGACAATTCCACATGCTTCTTTTTCTCGCCATCCATCATCCATCGTCCTCTACTCCGTACCCAACGTAGACGTGGGAATTTTCTCCAAGGGTACAGTAAGTACTACAGCCCAACATCTACTTTTCCTGTTTGGAATCTCACAAAGCACAGCCAATTCTCACCTTTGGGTTGGCGGTAAAATCTGATTCTCCGGCTGTCTTACATGGTCCCCTCCCGTTGACCCGTCGAATTGACTAGTCGTCAGCTTCAACTGGCCTGGCAAAGCCTCTCTCCCTCTTCACTCGCCCGTCCACCTGCCAGTCATCAGTCACATCACCTACCTCGCATCGCATCGCGTCCCGTCACGCATCTTGCCTACTCGCGTCACCTCCAATAAGTCCTGGCTTTTTACTCGCCACAATTTGCATCTTGCCTCCGGCTAGTCGTTTGACTTCCTAGGCTTTCTCGCTCGACTAGACACCCTGGTCAAGAGCGGTATGTCACCAGGCGGCCGTGTCTTGCAGCGTGCAACCACATCCAATTCCACCACACTTCTCATCGCCATCTCTCTATCTTGTTGCCGCCATGTCTAGTATTCGACATTGAGTGCGGCCTGAACAGAGTTTCTTCTCCTGCTTGGGATGCTGAAGTCACTTTGACTGAGCTAGATTCGCTCTTTTCTCCAAGTGCCCAGGTCCAGTGGCCAATGTCATCCATTTCGGCAACCGGCAAGCGGAAATAACCTTAGTTGACCAGAGTTATCGAACCATACCATCAGCCAGCCATCAACCTAAGCTCCTCAGCCCTCTGGGGACCGTCGATTGTCCATCGCAAGGTGAAGCTGCAACAGTGATCGACGTCGATTGACCAGTACTGCCCTCCCTTGCCTTTTGTCTGCCTCTAGACATCCCCACTCTCTCCAACCGGAAACTGTCCTCTGTACTGCAACTGGCCCTTTCGTGCAGCTTAGTATTCGTACTGACACGTTCTGGCATCCAGTTTTCCGTAAACCTTCATCTCCCTTTCGCTCGTGTCGTTTGGTTCAGCTCCGACTGTGCTTTGCCTTGAGGCTGTACATACCCGGTTAGAGCCTCGCCTCGCTACCTTGCCCGACCCGACTGCCCGACTTTACCTCACCAGATTCGTCCACAGGGCGCCAACAACCTGGCGGGCTGCCGTGACGGAGCTGTTTAAGGTACGGGGAGGGGGGCTCCTCCAGACGCCTAGGTCACCAAGCAACCCCCAGCAAGGTACCTCTCACCTAACCTACCTTGCCTTAGCTACCCTCCCCTCAGCTTAGCGCAGCTGGCTGGCGAGAGGCCCTTGCAGACGACAGAACAACCAGAAACTGCTGCACCAACACCCTTTCTTTGTTTTTAATTGGGTAGCCGGAGTGTGAGAGGAGGAGAGCTGGTTGGGAACTTTGACTCTCTTCTTTTTTTGTCCTGACCTGGCTCGTCGGTCGTCTGTTACTTCTTCTTTTACTACTCTCCCATTCTTGTTCTCCTTCGTCTTTGACACTTTCAGGATTTCCATATCCCTCGTCTCCTTTCTCTCTCATCCTTTTCTCCCATTACTTCTCTTCTCGCCTCCCCCTCTTCCATCTCTCTCTCCCTCTACATCTAGTCAGTCAGTCAGTCTGCTTTTGCATTTTTCCATTCCCCTGCTCGTCCCCCGTTCCCCGTCAACTTCCCCCCCTCCCCTGAGGCCCCTTTAAAGCACCCCTCCTTGGTCTCCTGTGGTCCCCACTCTTCCAATCAATTCGGACGGGCCAGACCCAGAGCTCCCTGACCCGAGCCCCCGACTTTCAAACTTCGTCGCTCCTGTGCCCCAACTACAATTGCATCCGGACCCCCCGCCGTTCTCCTTCGTCCCTTCCAGGTACCTTGTTGCGTCCTCTGGAAATCGCGCCCATCCACTCCCGATATAGAGTGATTTGCACGGCAATCCGCAGCCTCGATTCCGCTACCTGGCTTTCGGACCTCACCACTTCTCCGCCAAACCAAACCCTCCGCCTCGCCGACAATCTATTTAACCTTGCTGTCGTCCCTTGCCGCATGACGCGCCGATTGCGAAGCACTCAGCCCGGCGGCCCTTCCTCAAAGGAAGACGACCAGCTGTTGAAGCTTTTCTCCACACACCACTCCGTCCCGGCACGTTTCTGTCATCTGAATTGAGCTGCCCTGCTCAGACATCTCTTGCGCAACGATACGCACAACCGACAGCAACAACGTCGCAGCTTGACCAGCAAAGACACAATGTCACGCCACAACAGGCATCATCAGTCATGGTATGCTCTGCAACGATGCCTTTCCCACTTGTAGGGGAAGAGATAGAGGGATCGCAAGCTGATCATGTGTAGTCGTGAGCTTCATGTCGTGGTGCTGGGTGCTGGTGAGTCCTTGTTGAGAAATACGCCTGTCACGTGCGCGGCCCACTAACTTTGCATCCAGGAGGCGTAGGAAAGAGTTGCTTAACAGGTCAGCATCGCGTAGCGCAATGCTCGTGTCAAATGTGCAGCACCGCTAACCAATGCAAAAGCCCAATTCGTTCACAATGAGTGGATCGAGAGTTACGACCCGACAATTGAAGACACCTACCGGACACAATTACAGGTTGATGTGAGTTGATCTTATGCGGGTACTACTTGTTGCGACGAATCACTGACTCGATTCACTCCAGGGACGGCAAGTGGTCTTGGAAATGTGAGTAATGAAGGCACATTCTAGCTGCCGTGAGACCATCCATCTAACCATAGAACAGCCTCGATACCGCGGGCACAGAGCAGTTTGGTAAGCTACTTTTCGTACTTTCGTCCGACATCCTAGCTGACCGCAGATCTAGTTGCCATGCGCGACCTTTACATGAAATCTGGTCAAGGCTTCATTCTGGTCTTCAGCATCACCTCATCGTCCTCAATGAACGAGATTGAGATGCTTCGAGAGGAAATCACCCGCATCAAGGACGACGACAATGTTCCTATCGTCATCGTCGGCAACAAGGCCGACTTGGAAGAGCAGCGGTCTGTACCTAGACAAAGGGCCTTTGCGTGCTCTCAGATGTGGGATGCGCCTTACTACGAAACGAGCGCAAGGACACGAAGTAAGTCAGCAGTGCAGTGTTGAGACAAGATGTTGCTAAGCAGTGTTATCAGCCAACGTCGACGCCGTATTTATAGACATTTGTCGCCAGCTTCTCATGAAGGATGAGAAGTTTCAAAACCAAGCCGCTCACGAAGATGAAGATCACGAGTACGAGAAAAACCCAGGCCTCATGGGTTTTGCAAAGCGGAAGCACCGAAGGCGCAGACGCCCTGACGGTCACCGATGTGTCATCCTTTGAGTTGTCCATCATGATCTTCCATCGATCCGAGGCCCGAAACGCCCTCTAACCACGGATCTTCCTCACAAGCGGAAGCAATCGGAGCTTTCTGTTGTCAGCATCTCAGGATCAAACGCTTCATATTCGAATTCGACGCACTCCGCAGCCGGCATTCATACACTTCAAGACCCACAAAGAAAAGGGACGCACTCATTCAGGCCCTTTATGTTTCCTTTTACGTTTATTTTTATTTTCGCACTCAAGACGACCTTGTCTCATCGGCAAACCATACCCTCTCATGAAATTTTGACATCAACTTCGCGGCAATGAAGTCCTCCATCTTTGTTTTCGACACGGCCTTTTGTACGCTTTACGACTTCATTTCAAACTTCCTTCGAGGACAGCTGGATTAAAGCATAAGAGATTAATTTCGATTCATCTTTAAGCATCGCAGCAGCAAGATTCCCCAACTCCAGAAAGAACTCGCGATTTCTTCTTCATTTTCATTTACGACGGGACGAACCTGGACAAAGACCCATTCATCACCCACATCACATAGCTTTGCTTCATCTCATTTTTCTTCATTGATTGTCTCTTCTATTTCACCCCCATGTTTTTTTTTTTTTTTTTTCATCACACCTTTAGGGAAGGAGACCAAACAAAACAGTAGGGCAAAGGGATGGAGTTTTCACTTACCAAAAAAACAAAGATTTTGGGCGGGATTCGGCTTCATCGGGCGTTAGGAAAACGAACTGGTGTGTTCCTACAAAGGTAGTGAGCGAAGGTTGAGACATTGCAGCTGTGGGGGTCCTATCTATTGCGGGAGGGGAAAATTTGCTGCTCTCTCTCTCTCTCTCTCATCGTCTCCCTCATACGGGGCTAGAATTGATGGCATTCTTGGCCGCATACTCGAAAAATAAGCTGCAAGACTCTATCGGGCTACGCTGCACCGATTTTGTGACAAGTGATATATGGTAAGTGACGATCGTTTTGAAAGCATGTGACTGCTGTAACCCCTTCACTGCCCACATTCCGTCTTTTCCTGGTATGTTGGTGCAGGTTACATGAGGCTCTGTCGTACGCGTCAACCCGGGTCAACCGAGGCTTCTTGTTCGGATTGTTCGTCAAGCAGCTGACTTTTCGATATCGGAGATTTCGCACCTTTCTCTCATCCGTTGCTGGGATGCTCGAATGGCTGCCGGAGCATGCCGCACTCTGCCTCTATTGACGCGTCGTGATCGAAGAAGCCCATCTCAAAAATGTCGATCCTACTAACGTGGCTCCAATCGGCGGCCAACGCTCTACAATCACTATCAATCAAGGCCCCAAGAGATGTCCACGGCGGATCATCATCTCATAGATTGAATGTTTAATCGCATTGTATCCAGCAGGTGTACCTCAAGATGGAACGAAACTTCATAACAACAGGTAACGAAGCGATGTGCCGGTGACGAAGCTACAATGAAAAGCAGGCACACAACGCTAGCCTGAACATTAAAATTTTGTGACTTGATTTCATTAAGCATCTATCAAAGAGCTATGTGACAGCGTAAGAACCTGCATCATCTTCGCTATACTCTTACTATTTCGATACCTTGTGAGCCAATCGAGGCCGAGGCCAGAAGGGGAGGATTCTTCGTTCACTACCTTTTTCCTAGATGGGGAACAATTCCCCTTCTTTATACTTACTAGGCACTCAAGCCAAACACTACTCATTCTTGCTGAGCGAGTTCCAGACGGGCCGTGGGTGACATCGTACAAGGCTCAATACATAGAGTCTACGGTATACAAGGCCAACTCGGTCTAGGTTAGCATACAATCACAACCACAACTCGGATGCGGACAAAGATTACGTGCTTGCCAGCGGCTACTGTCCCGTGCATACCAATGAGTGTCTAGCAAGGCTTGATTCGCAGAGATCTCCTCACAGAAGGTCTCCCAGTTGTAAAAGTAGGCCGGCACTCTTCCCCATCTCTCCCCGCCCGATTCCTGATGCTCCCCCCCCTGAATATCCATATGATGACAGACCAGTAGAGAAAGCGGACGTGTCAAACTGTATGGACTTGCGTACTACATCTCTGAAAGATGTAGGAAGCCTGTCTGGCCAGGTAGTGCAGCAACAGAGACCGGGAACTGCGGCAACACGTGGTCATTCCGTGCATGGCAGTGGAAATTGGCGGGATGGCTCTCAACGATGGCCATTTTGATCCGAGTAGTGACCATAACGAAGGAGGCCGTACTTGTAATATATATAGTATCCCAATTAGGGCTTTGCGGAGGCCACTTACTGTGTCTTCGGGTGGGTGTCTTCTATCAACATTCCCTGTGGGCTATTTAGAAGGTACCAATCACCTAACCATAGACTGCAAATGACCCGGTACCTGCAGGATATCCTAGCTCCTGAGATGAACCCGAATATGCTTCCCTTTCTTCTTTCTCTGGAACCGTTAAAAGAATGAATAAGATTAAGCGTTCTGTCTCTCCCAAAGCTACCTCACATCGTCACAAGAAGCCAGCATGAGACCTCTGTTCTCGGCGCGAGCAGTCCTTCATGCTCTAGTATCTAAACTGTATTCTGTCGAAAGATGCATGGTGGGATGAAGCGAGCCAAGTCGGTTGGCTTCGATCCCTTCGTATAGCCACTTGCACAGCAGTAGAGCTGAGTCTCGTGTGGGATAAGGGCACCAGAGTCAAGTTGTGTTTTCATAATTGCAAATAGCATAGGCCTTCCTTGATCCTCAGACCGGCAAAGACCAAAGCCGGGACTAGAAAACATCCCGTGTCCTTTCTTCATCCTCGCTCAACATAGAAAACGGCAAGTATTACTTCACTGATACCCGAAAGGAGCGGTTAGTAGTACCACCCCCCCCCCCTTTCGTATTCTACCCATCCTAGGGCCAATAGATCGCTCCAAGTCTGTTTCTCTTCCCAAACAAGACAAAATATCAAACTCAATGCCCTGAAGGTGGTCGCCTCACACACTTTGCCCAACCCGTACATCACTGCCAGATACCATACCTCACACGAGCAGAAGGACCCCATCTACCCAGCATAGAAAGAGGCTTTCACTTCACTTATAACCCAAGAACCGAGATCGAAAGCAACCAAGAGCAAGTATGCGTCGTCTTTCGTCAAGGAGTCTCCCTTGCCTCGTTGAAAGCTCTCTAGTCTTGAATGCACCACACCGAAAAAAAAAAAAAAAAGGGGGGGGAGGGGGGTGGTAAACAGCAGGGGAAAACTTACTCATTGATGCATGGTAGAAGGGAGAAATAGCCATAAGAAAGATGACGACAGCCTTGAGTTGGCTGCAGATCCTTCTATCGATGATGTTGGAACAATCACAAACCAGTGGCCGGTGAACCTCCAAGAAGCATCTTCCTCGTCTCTTATGCATGAGACAGCAGGCGATGATGCTCAATCTCCAATACCCAAGAGCTCACGTCACCAATCACCTCAGAAGAAAACCAACTTCCAACATCTCCACGTCTTACGAAGGGTCCATCACAGAGAACGAGGATCACGAGTCAAAAGTCTTGAACAAACAAACGCTTGATATCATTTCAATCTCATTGAGCAGTCGCTTTCCAGCAAAGCCACAGCTTTCGTCTATCGGGTGTTTCCAGGATCAAGAAGAAAAAAACACTTCCCAGGTGTTTCCCAATCCCTCCGCGAATCCATTCCTCAAGCAACTTTTTGCTCCAAAATCGTGTTCCCGAGGGGGGAAAAAGAGAAGTGTAAAGAAGGGGGGGGAGGGGCATTAAACGTCGCTTCCTCGTGTCGTCTTCTCCTTCATCCATCCATCGATCCATCCTCCCGCGTATGCGACGCTCAATTAATCAAAACTGTCCATAACCAAGTTTGCTTGGTGGTGTGATGAACACAAAAGAAAAGAAGAATAGGAGTGAGAGAATATGTTGGGAAAAAGTAAGTTGGGTATCGGTGAAGTTGTGTCGCCCTTTTGTGCGGAAGTTATCCAGAAACATGGAGGGCAGAACGGCAATAACTCTCAAGCCGGGGCTACATATCCCGCAGGAAGGGAGGGAATGCCACTCGTGGAAGAATCTGCAAATTAAAAGAGCCTCGGTGGTCCGTTAGACGGAGGCGGCTTATCATCCTTCTGGTTGACCTTGACGATGCCCACCAGCACGCCAACAATCAATGCGATCAGGAACACCAGGACAGCGCAGAGCACACCGGCGAGAATGCCAAGCTTCATCTTTCTCTTCTTCCTCGCCTGCGCAACGGGGCCAAGCTGTCCGGGACTGTTGCCGTAAGCCGGCATCCCTCCCGTCATCGATTGCAAGTAGGCGCGCGGCCCGCTCCGTTCCCCTTGTCCCGGCTCCGCGTCCGCTACGTGAGCTGCCGCCGGTGCGGGAGCTTGCTGTGGGGTGCTGGTGTAGTTACTCTGAGATCGCGTAGAATGCGCTCCATTCTGCTGCTGCTGCTGCTGTCCGCTGAGAAGGGCACTCTCTGACGGGTTTGGTGATATCGGGTCGCGGGGCGTCGAGGGGTTGGTAGTCCCCGTGCCTGGCCTCGAGGGATCGTATGGCGGTGGTGGCGGGAGGTTAGGGTTCGCGGCGGACATGCCATCCGGGGTCCATGGTGCTATCGGCCCGCGAGCGGGAGAGTACAAGGGGTCGTGGTTCTGCGCCTGATTCCAGCCCGGCGATTGCTGGAAAGGCGCTGGAGCGTTGGTTGGATACGGCGGGAACTGGGCTTGTGCTTGTGTACTGCTGCTGCTGTTGGCGGCGCCGGGAGCGGCATTGTGATTGTTGTTGTAAGATTGTGAGTAACGGGCATTAGGCATGGCGAGCTTGTCGTCGGTGGGCATTGTAGGGTCAGACGGCCGGTAGGATGAGTCTGAAGGGTAAGCGGCATTGCTGATGGAGTTGGAGGGGTGGCCGCCGGGTTGGTAGCTCGAATCCCCGGGATATGCGGCGTTGTCAATCGAGTTTGACGGGTGGTGATGCTGATTGTAGTCCATGATGGGCGGGTTTGTTGACAGCGTGTAGGCCTGACTACGTTGTCTAGGGATATGTGGAAGTGCGACTTGAGGTGATTTCGAGATGGGATGAAGTTGAACTCTGGGGGAGGGGAACGTCGAGGTTCAACCGCTTAAAGTGCAAGTCCAAACCGGATCCGGACACAAGGCCTTGCGGGGAGTAGATGAAAGAGATCCAACAGTGCCGAGTCAGCTAGGCCAGGCGACGCCAGAAACGTGACTGTGATGTCTGCGCGCGTCGAGGAACGGCCCACGGAAGGAAGACTGGCGTAGTCTTAATGCGTTGAACAACCCGAGATGAGCATGGACCAAAAGAAAAAAAAAGGAAGGGACAACCAGAATCGCAAGAGGAACGAATTGGCCGGTGGATGGGTGGATAGCAAGGAAGAACAGAACAAAAGCGAGAAACCTTTTCCTGCCTTCGACGGAGAGCGACTGACTAGACAAGGTAAAGGAGCGAATAAGGTTGAAAAGTCAGGCGAAGGTAAAGGATGGCCCGCGAGAAGAGCAATTTGGAGGAGGTGAGGAGGAAAGTGAAAGGAAGAGGATAAGGACGAGAAAAGTAAGCCAAGCCAAGGAACAAGAAGGCAAAGGTAAATTGAGATGGCGGCAGATTGAGAGCGAGGGAGAGGAGCAAGGAAGGGGTCATCCAAGGATGAGCAGCCAACCCACTTGTGAGCCAAAAAGCAAAAGCCCAGGTCCAGTTGCCGTCCCCGACTGGGTGGTGTCTCTCTCTGTCTCTTTGCCTCGTCTTCCCTCCTGCTGGTCTAAGGCCAGGCCCAACAGGGCGCGGCCGGGATTAGAGTAATGATGCTGCAGCCATCAGCGGCATCCGCTGGCGCCAAGTGGGCTCTGTTGCTATTCATTGCTACTCTCAGGACCCAAGTTGCGTTCTAAAGATGTGGGTGCGCGTGTCTGTTGCAAAGTAAGTACTCTCTGGGAGTCATCTACGCTAAACGGTACCTGCTTATCCGTAGCGCACTTGGCCGTTTCTCCCCTCTCTCCCTCTCTCTCGCAGTCTCTGGAGAATGGTTCGTCTCTCCACAGCCTCAATGGGCGGGCTTAGCTGGCCCTTCTTAGCAAGGGGGGGGGGGGGGTCGCAGGCCACGAGGTGGGAGGGACGGGCGAGTTTACCTTATTCCCCGTTGGATGCGTGCTATGTGCATCTACGTGATGCAGGTGAGCCAACGTGGTAACGCGCGCCGAACTGCGACACGATGACCGTAGTCACGTTCTTGCAGCCTCTTTTGTCACTCTGATAGATCAACTATTTTTTGCTCCAAGCACGAGGGAGGCTGTGTGGCTGTGTCTGGCATGTCTCTCTTTGAGCGTCCACCGTTCTCCTGTAAGTCTGACAGACCAAGTTCAGGGGTTCGGGACGGTCCAGAACGGATGATGGGTTTCAAAACCACCCGACGAACACTTTTCTGGCTGACAGTTCAGTCCGGACTTTTGGGACTTTGAGGAATAGGTAATCGTTCCAGTCCTTATTCCCACATTTTGTCCTTCTCTCCCTCATCCCCCCTCTGTGGGACGACGGACAAACAGCCCGCCCATGGCGTGCCGCAATCATCCTCGACACCGATTCCCTCATCTACTGCGCGAAATCCACTCTGAATCCCCCCAAGCGAACGGGCAATCATTGGCAGGCACCGCCGCAGGGCACGCGGGTGGAGGAGATGGAGGAGGGGAAGGGGTGGGCCACCGGGGGGAGGGGGGGGAACTTGGGAAGGGAAGGATTGGCACCGGTGCAGGAACCCTTGCTCTGGCACGCCTGCGCCTGGAAAGGGGGTTGAGAAATCGCAGGGGTGGTTTGGTGGAGAAGGGGAAAGAGGATCTGTTAGTGCCTGGGAATTTGGAAAGTAAGAGAGAAAAAGAGTGACCGCGCAGAGCCACTGTGGCACAGAGTGTGCGTGAGTCTGGGAGAGACTTCTGTCCACTAAGAATTGGAAATCAGAACAACGGCACTTGTATCAGAGACGAGCCCTTGGATACGGATTCACCAAATCAAAGGTCCAAGGTTGCTTCCTTGGGGCTCTCCTCTCCCTCCCCCGCGCTACCAAAACCACTACCGCTGGCGACGGGGGCCATGTTTCCTTGCCCTGAGATAACCGGGCTGGGCACTTCAAGTTTCGCCATTCTCGACCCTGCCGTAGTGGTCCCCGGTAGACGAGGAGTCCAGGACCATAATGTGGGCGAGGGTCGAGACTGAGAGATTCAGGCGGGGAGTATCCGTACACACAAAATAGGCGGGCTCTCCGCGGGCCGCCGTAGGAACTCATTCTTTGCTGTAAGAGATACAGAATCTCAAAGACGATTCAATGTTCCACATGCAAAGCAAGAAAAAGAGACGTCGAAACGCTCAGGCCACCGCGAAAGATATCAACCTCCACCTGCCAAGAAACACCAAATCCTTGCGCATGCCCACCTGCAACAAACTTACTAGAGTAAACAGCGAAGTCCTACCTAGTCCTCGGAAAGCACTTAACAAGACATTCGCACATGCTCAATCAATCCTAGCGCGAAAGCTCCCGCCCATCTCAACTTCCGGCGACTTGGCATAAACCTTCCATCGGAAAGCCGTATCTTTCGGTCGTCGAGACTCAGCTCAGCCTCGAAATTCTCCCAACTTTCAAGAGGTCGCGTAAAACGTAGTCAATTTTTTGTCCAACGTGGCACGACAGCATTCTAGCAAAATTTCAGTTGCTCCCAATTGGTCGTACATAATCTTATTTTCAATCTTATATCCGTAATCTCGGAAACATAAGAAGCAGAGCCAAAAAAAAAAAAAAAAGACATCCCACCTCTTCCGTTACTTCTCTTCTTAACAACGCTTCATTCAATTAACCTGAGAAACAAAAACGGCGCGCTGGCCAAAAGAAAAGACCAAAAGGAAGAAGAAAACCACCGACGTCCCTTCCAAAGCTTCAAATGTAGAACCTGCCGCCGCCTGTTTACACTTCTCTCTCTTAATAGTAATAAACACACAGTACGGAGAATCAAAGTTTCCCACTCACCAACAGCCTAAGTATCGAACCATCCATTGACTCTTCGTGGTGTCAACCTGAGAACCGGGACTGAGCCTGCAAAGTCCCAGGTCACGTCGCCAAAAAAAAAGAAAAAACCAAAAAAAAAACCTCAGTTTTAGCTTTGTTAATGTTCCTTCCTTCCTCTGAGCCAATTCGCACCGGCGTACGGCGCAAAAGCCTGCCGATTCAATTGCTTGGTTCGCCGAGATTAAACCCTCCGCGGCGATCCCGACGATCTACCATGAGCCCACGATATCCCGTCGGGATTTCCATCCTCCCAAAACTCCACTACCAATATCGTGACCAGCAGCTAACCCACCCACTCTCGTCTACCACACACACTCCGTACCTTTACGTCATTTGACATAACGAAAGCCAGTTGCCTCTCAACTTCATGTTTTCACTTCACGCCATTAACCAATGTGGTCATATCTGTACAGGTGATTATGTCTTTGATTGATATCAGTGGTATCTGCATAGCTCCTTCGACTTCCTTCTCTCAGTTCCAACGCCCTCGCTTTACTTACTCGTACACGACGAGATGCTATGCGTTGCCCAAAATTTCCTCCGCTCGTAGAGAAATAAGAAAAAACGCACCAGAATCTTTTTATACAACATGGTCGGCCGGCGTGCCTACACATCTCTCATACCGCCCAGAGCCTCTAACCCAAGAGAAGGAGCACCGAGTCACCTCATTAAGCGTCATATCTATGTACATTTTTTTTTCTTCCACCCACGCCTCGGCACGCCGTCACGGCCATCGTCCGGTTCATTGTTGTTTTTTGTGTTCGCCTCTCAGCTGCTCTTGCGGCCAACCTGGATGCCTCCCGGAATGGTGATGAGGAAATTGACCAGGTCCACTGAGTTGCCTCCGCCAAGTGTCACGTTCAGTGCCTGGGCAGGCGTGACCCCGCCGCTTTGCTGCCGAGTGCCCTGGTCCGCAGTCGTGAAGAAACGCTGCAAAACCGTCTGTGCCGTTGTCGCCGCCATCAAGGTTTGCCTCTCGAGGATGAGGAGAATCGAGACGCGAGCAAAGTCCAAAGTCTCCTCAGTAACTGTGAAAGTCGGACTAGGCGCTGGCGCAGAAGACACTGGTACCGATGGAACCAGAGGGGTCTCAGATGTGGTTGTCGTTGGTATCGTCGTAGGCGGGACAGTAGTTGTCGGCGGGGCTGCAGAGGAAGTCGTCTCGGGTGTTGGTGTTGGTGAGGGCACCATTGGAATAGTAGCCCACATGGTGGAGCTAGAGGCATGGATGGTTGTAACACGGAAGGGCCCTGTGAGTGTTGTGAATCCACCAACAATATCTGGCGAGGGGAGGATCACACCTCCCGGTGCGTTGACGTCAATCGTGATAGTTGCCGCTTGCCCTGGGAGGATAGTGATGACCTGAACAGGAATTGCGCCCTTGGCATTGAGATCCGTGTCCGAAATGACGGTTCCAGTGCGAGTGGAACGTCCGTCAAATGTCACGAGAGAGTTCTGCGCAATGCATGATAGGCTTTCCGTGTTGAACTTCGCGAGAATATCGGTACCGTCCAGAGGAACTGTGAAGTTCGTCTGTGATTGTTGCAATAGCCGTGGAACCGCTTGGCCGAGAGTGACATTACTAAAATTAGTCGAGGTAGAGTTCCCCGAGAGGTTGGTGGTGGTGCAGCCTGTGGCTCCGGCCACGGTGCAGGTCTGTCCAGTGAACCCGTTTATACAGATGCAGGAACAAACATTTTGTGATACGACGTTGGTTCCGCCGTTCTCGCACTTGAGCTGGTTCTGGCACTGGGTCAGAGCCGGCTCCGCCGCTGGAGGAGTAGCAGATCTATTTTTGCGGAATACGAAGAATTCGAGGGGGACGATGATGGCGGCGGCAATGATTCCCAAAATGAGGAAGACGATGAGAACGAAGGCCCACAATGGCAGACCGCAACACTTTCTACGACGCTTAGTTGACGACTCGCCGTCGTTGGATTCGAGTCTCGCCAGCGGAGATCCTCTTGCCGCCATCGCTCTAGTCACAGGCTGAGGCGTACTGCCCCTACTGCCCGGTGCCAGTGGCCACGAGGCTTGAGAGGCTCGTCTGAACCAGCTTCCACGGTTGGGAGGGTTTGGTGTCGTAGCCGCAGGTGGTGGGAATGCGGCGAGCATGTCAGACAGGCCAGACTGGTGCTTGTCACCAGCTGAAAAAAACAGTTAGCAAACACTACCGCGGTGAGCATCGAAAAGTCGACTTACAAGAAACGCCTGACATCTGCTGCTCCCCGTCTCGCCCAAATGCCTTCTCGTCTGGCCACGTGCCGTCATGCATCTCGAATCGACTGGCAGGTCTTCGTCCCCGATCGATCAAAGCAGCCAGACGGGTTGCTCGTTTGATAAGATCCGGTAAACTCGTCATGCTACCCCTGGATTCCATTTGCCTGACTGAATCCATGTCGAGTCCGAGTTTGGGTGGTCGTCGAATGGCCGAAAGGCGGTTGTACGGTCGGGGCGACGGCGTAACCTTTCTCAATTCTGCTGGATCCGTCGCACTGGCAGCGGCAAAAGCGCCTAGCATAGCGTTGGCCGAGATCGATGGGGTCGTGGCGGTGGCTGCTGTGGTAGGAGCAGTTCCCGAGGAGCTGGAAGCCTCATAATAAGCCGTACCAGCGTCAAAGGGACTGACAGGAAGCTGGAAAGGAGGGGCTGGCGACCGCCGCGGCGACTCTTGTTCATTTAGTACATCCTGCGGCATCGGGTCTCCGTTACTCGGGGCTCGGTTCATCACGATTGAAGGCTTCGACATCTTGCCCAAGCTAGCACTCCGAACAAGTTTGCTCTCGTCTCCTGCATCACCATACGGCGATCCTGTACCACGGCTCATTTGACTATTTTCGTCCTCGGTTGAATACGCGTCGTCCTCGTAAAAGTCGTCTGGATACCCTGGGCTGAAACCTGGTGATTGACTGCCCCAGCTCTCAGGCATAGCAGCGCTTGAAGCGAAAGAGGTGTGAGACCTCGACCGAGGACTCTCTTCAGGAATCGGCGAGACGAACGAAGCATTCGAATAAAACGATGAGTCGCCTCTACGGGAGGACGGCGGAGGACCGAGAGTTACGCTTCGCCTTGGTGGTACTACAGGTTGTGGCACGGCGACGGGTGGCAGAGTCGACGGCAAAGGGAAGTCTGGAATCGATCCGACTGAAGAAAGTGATGATTGCGTGTGTCTTGATGACGGGGTAAGCGGTGCGGATGAGACATCTTGGCTCAGCGTTGATTCTCGCCCGCTTTGTGGGGTATATTGAAAAACGGGAGTGTGATCCTGGACCCGGGAACTATCCAATATTGAGGGTACTCTACTTGGGCGCGGAGGTCGTTGCGGCGGTGGTCCACGGCCCGGAGGAGGTCGATAGGGTTCCGCATCGGGATTGTTCACGGGTGACGGAATCGGTCCTGGCAGCGGCCATTGTGGAATTTGTGTCGGTCGGGAGATGGCCAGCCCGGGGCTGCCATCTTTGTTTTGCAAGCCATTCGGTAGTTGAAGTCTCGGTATCCGTGATGGTGTCGGCTCGACAATTTGACGTCGGTCAGAGACATCCGTGGGGCTGTCTGGATCTTCTTCCATTATCGGAAATCTCGTAGCGCTCGGCGGAGAGTACTGTTCCCTCGGGAATCCGGCTTGAGCCCGCTCTCTCGCCCGCTTGACGGATCCTGCAACTGGCGGTCGATCCATATCTCTTCCATATTGGGGTTGACTCATTTAGTACTCGTGAATTCGGTCCAGCGACATCAGAGTTTCGTTTCCCTCCTGACTTCCTGTTTGTTTTCCCTTTCCAAAATGCCTGCGCGTCCAGGCACGACAATTAGACCATTCGCTCTGCGGTATCACCCAGGTGCAGCTCCTATAACCGTGGTTCCTGCGGGTCGCCGATGGTTATGTGATGCGGTGGCGTAGCTGAAATTGTCCGAGGAGACGCTCGTATAGGCTTGCGGTGGCAATATGACTTGCAGCAGACGACGCAGATTCGCGGACAGGAAAGAGCGGCTGAGAGTTAGATCAAACGAATGGCCGCTCAGCTCTTATGCGAGGCGGTGTAACTGCGTGAGGTTGAAAAACAGGACCCAGGCCTATTAGGAAGAATCGAAGTCTAGAGCGACGCTGAAGTGCAGTCGGGTGGCAAGTTGCCCAAGGGAAAGAACGGAACGAAAAAGGCGGCGAAGGAATGAAGTGCGTACACTGAGGTAGCAGGATAGCAGATTTCTAAATGGATTAATTATGATGGCAGGGAATGAAAAGACGCGGTGGACGATCTATGGTGCAAAAGTCCAGGTCAGCACCGGATAAACGTGAGGGGATCTGGAAGGAAGTGAGGTAAAGCGGGAGAGAGAGAGTAGAAGCAGCACGGCCACCACTCAAGGCAAACTGGCCCCCCAGTAACAGGTACAGAGGATTCCCGGTGGTTCGGGAGGGTTGCCTCAAGTCGGCCGCACCCTTCCAAGCAAGGAACACCTGAACAGCCGGGCCACGGGTAGGGGGAGTCCCAAAGGGGATCACGTACATTTGGTGTTTCGAGACTTGGCCTTTGTTGAACGTGATTCGCCCAGCAGGCAAGATTTGTGGTTGCTTTTGATAGAGAGGTGAAGAGAGATGGGATGCAATTGTGACGGCCGTGGATAGCGGACGGATTTGTTGATTGAGTGATTGAGTAAGTGAGTGACTGCGGTGACGAGAATGATTACAAGGTGATGGCATCGACGTCGGAGCAAGAGCAAGAGCGCGTCTCAGCAGCAGATACTTCTACAAACAAACGGGCCAACGCAGTCGTCGGTGCAACAGCAGCAGCAGAAGGCAACTCTGACGGCGGACGGAAGAAGAGAAATCGAGTGGGTGAGACGAGCGCGGGTGAGTGCACGACACACGATGGGTCTTGCGGTGCTGTAGAAAGGACTGAGAGTGTTTCAGACGGGCGGAACGGACAGGGTGTGTCCGGCGTCGGGGAGGCAGGTCGTCTCCGGGGGGAACCTAGTGACTGACGTCTGAAGATTTGGAGATCAAGAGACAATCAGGCGAAGAAGCAGGTCCGTGGTGGATTCGAGTGTGATATGATGTGCGAACTGACAGGCGAGGTCGCGTGGGGTAACGGAGCGTCGATGATATGCGTTTGCTTCAAGGTAGAGTGATGAATCCTATGGCGACGGTCCGGCGAGAGAGAAACGGAGAGTCGCGGGAGAGAAATGAGGGTCAGAGAGGTTAATGACGCAGGCCTTGTTGAGGTTCTCGGACGGTTTGCGGCAGTTAGTCTTCAAGACAAAAACTTATGTCCGGTTGGCGGCGGCAAAAAGGAAGAAAAGACCAATGGCAGTCGATCAAGTCGGCGAGATTGGAAGAAGAAAAGAAGGTCGAGAAGTGAAAGGTGTGCTGTGTTGGGCGAGTGGGTGTGTGTGCGTACGCAGTATGCGTGTGTGTGTGTGAATGGGTGAGTGGTGTGTGTATGACCCAGGTCTGTGTCTGTGTGTATTGGATTGGTTGGTTGGCGGACACACAGATGTACGTATCGTGACGGGATCTGATCTGTCGAGGGAAAGCAGAACAGACGGGCCGCGTGCCTGGCTGGACAACCCGTATGTGACAGCTACAAGCGAAGACTTACAAGAACCAGTATCGGTAGGGTTGACTCGACTGGTCTGCGGTAACAGGTTACAACCGCACGGAAAGGTTGATGGAGGTGGTCCCGAGACGGAAGTGAAGAAGAAGAGAGAGAGAGAGAAAGAGGAGTCGGTCGAGACGGTATAGGAGGGATTAGAGAAGAAGCGAGTAGGGATCCCCAGAGATCAAAAACGAGTGGAAGCAGACTGCCAGAAGAGGGCCGGGCTGGGCTGGGTCTGAATCCTAATCTAGAGTCTAGAGACGGACGGGGGTGGGATTTTGGGACGTGGATTGGGGATGGTCTGGCCTGAGAGACAGCCCATTCAGCAGAATCGGTGCAAGAGAAAAGACTCCACCATCCACCGGCATGGAACTTGAACTTTGGAGTGGGAGAGAAAGAGAGAAAGACCAGGGGTGAGAGTCGGTGTTTTGTGAGTCTGTGACCCTTTTTTCCCCTTGCTGTTGCTATTCGTACAGACCTTCACTGCAAATTTCATCCTTTTTTTTCTCTTCCCCCTCTGCAGGTCGAGGTCAAGTCCGGATAATGCGCCGAAAGCGAGCGTGGTGGGATTACTATCCGTCTGTATCGGTACGAATATGCTATCTGAAGAAGCGCAGTAAGCATGTAAAGTACCTTGAAATGGATATCTCACCGTAACATGGTCACGTACCTTGCAGGTGCAGCAGGCACAAGCACACATGTGGGGCACTGGGACGGGATTGCGCAAACGAGGTGTCCAAAGATATCTGGGAGGATGGAGGCAAAAAACGGAGTATTGTGCAGGGAAATGACGAGTGGGGGTGTGGCCGTTGTAGAGTGACGCCAACATGCCCAGCTTTGCCCAAGTTGGTCGAGAGTCAAGAGGCCGTTGAAAAGGTCTCGTCTCAGTCAGTATCAACGTCCGGTGCTATCGTTGCCCCTTCCGGCTTGCGTTGATTACCTTTTTGCTTTGCACGTGCCTTGGTGGGAAGTGCTAATATGAGTGTGGTAAGTAAGGTAAGTTAAGCAGGAAAGGACACGAGTGAGGCGTCGATAGTCAAGCAAAGGCTGCAAAGCCAAGTCGCCCGTCGCCCCAAAGGTTGATGGCATGTCTTCAAGGGCTGCCCCTGGCTTCAAACTGGATTCATTTTTTGGGGACAACGAGATCCCAAAGTGGCAGATGGGTCAGGATTCAACGAGGCACGGCTCATCTTGGGAGCTGTGGCTGACGCTAACACGACCGTTCCTGGTCCTTCTTGGTCGTCGCTGCCATCCTGGCTGCAGATGACAGGGGTGGCAGGGGAGGGAGAGAGAGAAAGGAGGAGGCAGGACCATTGGCGAAGTCTTGACTTGCACCGGGGCCGTTCTTACAAGTTGCTCGCTTCACACTTTGCCGTCTCAAACGCAGGCAAGGCAGGTGTTAGTCCAACGCTCCTGCTTCGACTCTTTCCTTTTCCTCCTCCCCTCTTCTTCCCTCTGCTGCGTGCCTTCCCTGGTCTGCCCCGGCTGGAGGGGTCACTCTCCATCCAATCCCTGCTCTCTGCAGTCCCAATGTGGGTCAATCTGGTCTAGTGTGGGCCAATGATGAGCGTATCAGGCTTAACCAGAAACACTAGCGCAGGCACGCACCTCAAGACCCTTCCAATCCCTGCAAGAGCGGTCCAGATGGCCCGATCTGGGGGGAAACCTCAACCCAGTCGATTCGTAACGTACCTTCTTAGTCAATCAGTCTCCAGCATCTAGAAAACTTCAAGTCGTCTTCCATGGCTCTTGTAATCTTTTGTACATAGTTCCTTTACCATTGGAAAGAGTCGTTCGTCGAACACAATGACCGATTGGACAAGTTTATCGCCCGACTCGGCATCGCAACAATATCGTTCGAACAAATCCGCCGCGGCGCAGCCCTCGACGCAACCTTTTCCCTCTAAAGATGCTGCAAACTGCGGCATGTTCGGTCTTGCTCGTCATTTTTTTTTCTGCACCTGTCAGAGTTGCCGTTGGTGTGCATTCTTCCAAAAAAGCAAAGTCGAACCGACCTGCAACTGGAACAAGCTACTCGCACCTCGGTTGCTAGCTCCTTAATACTCAACTCCGGGGAACTATTCCCAAAAAATACGCTACAGACACCCACCGCTTCCACTTTCTAGTTGCCGTGATCGAATTATCGCACCCAATGTATAGGTATTCTGCCAATGCCTACTTCCGTCCGGCTCGTCTTCAACAGCATTCGAGGGACCATCCCAACGCCAGATTCATCAACGCGGACGACCGCCACCTACTACTACCTACTACCGCCACCCCAATCAGGGAGACGGGACGAATTGAAACGTCATGTTCCTTAAGCTGATGTCTGTCACAGAACAAAATGAGAGGAAAATACTCCGAGGGTGGCATATGGTTTGACTACGTCCCTTGAAGGATGGGCCTATCGGCGACTCTCCGTTGAAATGATGCTCGACTTGCGTAACCAGAATACCATTCCTGTGCCGTCGACCATCAAAATAACGACTCCCGTTCCAAATCTATGCGTCGGGTGTCTTTTGAACAGCATCACGATACAAAGACGCTTGCCATTGATGATGCGCCCGCGCAACCAGCGGAAGAATGGATATTCAATTACCTTTGCCCTGTGCTGTTACCTTGCACCTTGGAACCCCAGGTCCCCGGCACGAGAACGCTGATCAGCATTACCTTAAAGGCAACTGAGCGGGGGTCTGCCTGCGACGTGCAGCTTCAGAGTTCCTGTAATTATTCCGCCTGCAGGAACACCTTCTACGCGATCCGTCGACCGCGTGCTGATTTTTGCGCCGGCATCTCTGTACCGAAAACGCCATTCTGCGACCTGCCTGGTCTTGGCCTACCTGATGGCCATCGGTCCGCTGCCACTGCATGCGCAGAACTGCAGACCAAGGGGTCGAACAAACACATCGGTCGTCTCCTGTCGCAAATCCCACGGCACACATCGAGATAACCCTGAGTCTCGGATCAACTCGTCCAA